AGCACGGGGCTGGCGGAGTCGTGGCTCGCAGCCGCTGCGGTCAGCGCCCGAGGCGGCAGGGCTAGGCAGGGCCGGGCAGGGTCGCTGACGACGCCGTCCGGGGCCAGCCGAGCGCTGAGGCGTTGGGAGGCGGGCGGGCGGGCGGCCCCTGGCGGCGGGGCCGGGGCAACCGCAGTCCTACATTGGGACTTTCCGACGGCGCCGTGGGTTTCCTGGCTTATTCTGTCCCAATAAGCGAGAGAAGTACCAGGGAAACAAGGGAGATGAGTGAGATAACCACGCTGCCCACGGCGGGGGATGGGGGAGGCGGGCGGTATACAGCGTACCGGTAACGAAGCCCGAAGGACTCGCGGGCACAGGCTGTTCGCATTTTGGGGGTAACACATAAACACCGTGGACGCAGCAGACACGGGGACATAAGCGCTCTGCGTATGCAGACGAGACACACCTTGTACTTGTAGGGACTTAGGGACATGGGCGCTTCGTGTATGGTGGGGCACTTTGTGTACTCGCAGAGATGGAGATACAGGCGTTCTGCGTTTTTTAGTGGGACACACCTTGTACTCGCAGAGACTTAGGGACATGGGCGCTTAGTGTATGGCGGGGCGCTCCGTGTACTCGCAGAAATAGGAACACGGGCACTCCGCATATGGGGGGCACACCGGGTATTCTCAAAGGCTGGACACAGACGCTCCGCTTACGAGCAGGGAGCGGGGGACACCTTGCGCTCCCAGGGATCGGGAACACAGGCGCCTCGCGCTCCCGGAGATGAGCCAGCATCACACCGAGTTCTCCCGAAAGCAAAACATCGGTTACTGGGGAGAGAGATTCACAGAGGGTCCTCGTACTCGAAAGACGCCGCGTCTCGGACGGACCCACGGATGTAGAGACTGGGAACGAGGGTGGGAGGAGGATATACTGCCTCCCAGGCAGAGACTTCGGTCTCTTCCCCTGCACCACATTCCGGAGAGACCCGTGGACGCACAGCTCTAGAACAGTGAAGGCTCATATAGACGAACATACGCCGCAATTGGAGTATGAAGCCAGGAACGCGTTCTCGTGTTGAAAAAATATGAGGGGGTGGGGCACAGAGAAGGGATACCGCAACCGGGGTGCCTGGAGAAGCCGTTTATGGACATGCAGTAATGTGTGTGGATGAGGGAGACCGGAGTGGACACATTGCATAAGGGAAGGGATATACCATATGAGGAGGGGTAACATTTTCTCTAAGAGGAGAGACAGTTGGAAGGAGATATAACCCACAGAGCATCCTGACAGATAACCCAGATCATACCAAGGAAACTCGCTCCAATTAACTGATTTCATAAAAAAGGCACAGAGGACCAGAGGGACACCCAGATGCAGACTCAGTTATTCAGATAAAAGTGGAAATTTAACATCTGTTGAGCTCCCACTAGCGCCAGGCACTTTAAATGCATAGAAGGAAGACAGTTGGAGGCAGAGCCACTGGAGAAGTGTGAACCCTGGTTCACTAGGAGTGTATGAACTTGGGCTGAGGGGAACTTTTTTGGAGAGGCCCCCTACTAAACATGCACATGGGAAGGCACACAATTATGTACAGCTTGGGAAATATATGATTCACGTGATAGTGTACGTGTAAATGTCAGGAGAGACTCGTAGAGGTGAGCATGCTCTCAAGGGGATACTCAGAACTAGTGGACACATGGATGTACACTTCAGGGCACTTGTGTTACCCACCAGAGAAGCATATGAGAAACACTCAGACTTGGGATGAGAAAGAGGAGTGAATACACAGGGAGAAAGATACTTTCCTACACACCATGAAATCTCAGGGGAAAAGAGCCTCATATATGGCTGGAAGGTCAGTGAACACCCAGCAATAGAAATGCAACGAGATACAAGAAATACAAAACTGCGTGTGTCAGTAGCTACTCCCAAACAGGTGCACCTGCAGGGAGGAGATCAGCACCAGCATGGAGTGGGAGGGCCCATCTGGAGGAAGCCAGATAGGCAGGCAGAGGGATAAAGGCAGACACTATAGTGAAACTCAGCCCTGCAAGATGGAGAGATAAGCTTGCTTGTTCTGAGGGGAGGATGTGGGAAGGAATGACAGTGGGAAGAAGGTAGGTCAGAGGATGTAAAAAGAAAAACAGAGGGTGGAGGGGAAGAAGCCAGCAAGAAGCTGCCAACCTCCAGTCAGAAACAGACCCGAGGAGCAGAGAAAGACTGACAGAGGGTGGAGAAAGGCATCTCTGGGTACAGTAGGTCAACCAGCCACCGTGGGAGAACAACAGGCAAACTGTACAGTTGATTACAGCAAGACCGATAGACGCTGTACAGTTGACAGAGGGAAGCGATGGTATCCAGGGAGAGTGAGGTGACAGAGAGGCCCCAGTGCTCACTGATCTGTATGACCACTGGGGCCCCAGGAAGGGAGTGCCGTTTGTTTTCCTACCTTCATTTCTGCTTTTTACACCTTAGTGTTTATATGCTTGGCATTGATTGGAGTGTTTTAACTCCAAAAGTCCCCACATTTATATACTACTGTCTTCTAGGAAACAGTAGATAAAAATTCTTTCCCATCTCATCTCTTGAATCTTAATTTTTTTTTAATAATCAAAGGTACCAAAGTCAATGGGTTTGCTCTTGACTACTTCTCTTGCCTATTAATATCATGACTATCTTTTCCATCTCTGTGCATACAAATTAATGGGTCTGGTTGATCTGTACACAGGCAAAGAAGGGAAAGGGAGATGACTTCCAAGTCCCTCTACCTTTCTGATTGTGGAGCCAGGTAGATTGAGTTGGTCCTAGGATTCCTTTTCTCCTGAAAAGCTGGTGGTAGAAGCAGTGGTGTGCAAAGAGAGGGGGAAAAAATAAGCTGATTTGGTGTTTGCAAATCACTGCCTTAGATGCTGCCTTGTTTCTGACTTAACCAGCTTCTGTCCCCAGGCCTCACTGTCACTCGAGCCACAGAAACACTTGTTAATGGGCTTGGAAAAGCAATAGCTGGGCTGAGAATTTAACCCCAGATGGTTGAAAAATAGGAAGAGACTGGAGAAAAAGAAATGAGAGACCCTGTTGGAACTCACTGCAGGATCCTCTGGCGTGTTCAGATAAGCCTCCCACAAATGTGTCCTAAGTGCCCCTGGTCAGACCAGGGCTCCCCCATTTGCACAGTAAGAGTTGCCAGCAGTAGGCATCGGCTTGAGCTTTTATCATCCAGTAGGATACTTATTTGGTATTTTACACCTTCCACCCTTATCAGAAGTAGAGCTCGTGACTTTAAATTGTAGTTGCTGTTTGGAAATATGTTGCTATGTGTTGGCTAATTGGGAAGAAGTGCCTGGTGGTCAAGCCTGTCATCTATGGGGGAAAAAATGACTTAATTTCTCACATACAACTGCTCTCACTATTCTGTGCTTAGATAGGAAGGTGCTTAATGCTTGAAAAGTGGCCTCCAAGTGGCTTTGATTTGTCCGGAGCTATAACTATTACTCCTCCTCTTATGATTTTTCTAAGAGCCAGAAATTTCAATAGGTTAATTTCTTAAATTAAGTATCAGAGTTATTTTTAACTGGATTATTTTGTCCATTGGACTTTATCTTGTAAATTAATCCACTTGACCAAAGGCTTCAATGAGGTAAATTCAGGAATTTTAGGAAACTAAATTCTGCAAAATACAGAAATTATTTAGATACAATTGAACAAGTACGTGAAATTATTAAGGTTCATGAAAACAGAATCTTTAATTGGAAACAAACCAGACAAACCTAATTGACCTTCATTATTCAAGTTTTCTATTTTTAGAGAAGAAACGAAGAATGCTAACTTGGGAACTTTTCTAAACAGGGACTAGGGTGGGGGAGAGAGACATTGGGAATGCAGGAATGGGAGTTACAATTGGAGTAAATATCTACTAAGAGTTGTTTTTCCACTTAGTTTGAATACGGAAATAGTTTCAAGTCGATTGAATGTTTAAAAAATGTTAACTGGAATGTTATTTTCATAATTTGCAGAATAATTTTAGACATACTAATGTAGATATCTAGGATATATTACAAATCCACTATTTTTTTACTGTAGATTGATTATTTTGAATGAAGGGACAAGTTAAATAAAATCACAAATTACAACTTTATCATCATTCTAAATTGATGTCTATGATTGTGTGGTCTCTACAAGCTCTACATATTTTAAATGAACATATATTACTGTAATCATATTTCTTCCAAATGTATCCTAAAACTATGTTTAAAATTAAGACCCAAAATTCCAAAATATATCTTAGCTAATATCAGTAATATAGCTGGCTTTATTTTGATATTTGAATAACTCATTTGTAATAACAACAATCGAAATATTGTTTTTAGATTCTGTTTTTGCTGATCCTGTCAATTTATTTATTTTTTAAAATTTACTCAAAGTTTCAAAAGTGGTGGCTCAAATAATACTATTTTTACCCAACTATTATGTAAAAAGTCTTGCATAGATGCATTTGAGGGCGAAGACTGGGCCATTCATCCTCTGTGTCTCAGGATCAGAAAGCAGATACCTTTGAAAAGGATTCTGTTAACACAGTCTCTTATTCACTCATTATTGGCTTAATAGAAGCCAAAAATAATAATAATAATAATAATTAACCAAGACACCTTGGTTAGTGTCTTCTAAGAAAATAATAGTGTTTTGAAAGTTTGTGCAAATATACTTACATTTAATTTTGTATGAGGAATTTCGTTTCTCTCAGTATTACCAGATACTATTATTTCTAATCAAAGCATATAGTCTTATTTAAACCTCCAAAGTTATTGTCCTTCACAGTAGTTCCCTTTAATATGTTACTTGATCTTTTAAAATACTCATCTCAAAGGTCATAGAATAGGTGATTTCCTTTCCTTAGCCTTTCATTCTGTCTGGAGAACTTTTCAGAATTT